GGTTAACCAATTGCAACTGATTCGTATTTATCGATTTGTACACTGATGCAACCAGATACATCAACATAACGGTGAAAATTATGAACATACTCGCACCTGCAATGCGGCGTCAGAAGAACGTGACAGCGTAAGAGAACATTGCCCTGTGGCGCCCCTTTTAATCTACGTACGAGGCGACCCTTTTACCTGTGTAACAGTCAGCTAATAACAACGATAACCGAGCGACCAGGAAGAAACGGCCTCAACTGTCAAATCATATTGGCTTAAAGCGCCTGACCAACAAAGAATCATTCGCGTCTAAAATCTGATTGGCCAATGATGATCGATGCACCACCAGGAAGAAACCATCTGTGTCTAACTTTCGGTTGGCCCACTCCGGCATGGCCGTGAAGGAACTGTATAAACCTAACATGTCACTGATCCACCAGAACAAAAACCAGCATGAATCCACCAGAAACTGAGACTCATTAATTCCTTGAGCGCGACAAACACGATTAAAACAGCCATCTCTATGTACTGCATGTATGTACTACGAAGTGTATCTTTACTAGGCCTGATTATAGGTGTAAAGAATCTGTGTCGGTAAATGTTAAATCAAGATGGTTCCCTCTTGACTGCGCGCCGATAACCTATCTGTTTCGATATTTGAGGTCATTTTTCTGGTCGTGCCGTTAAAATGTATAACCGCGCTAAAATGTCAAAGGGTGGCTACAAATGAAGATTAAAGACACCGCCACAGTACCATTTTTGGAAAAGATAATCATAGAAATCAGAGGGTTGAATTCTGGCTGAGGTAGGCCTATGTACTAGAAATGAGTGTTACAAGGAACGAAAAAAGAAAAATTTTAACCTGTGAGATATCGAGTCCTATCTTACAGTTTCACAAGGTTCGTTTTTTCATGCAGCTACAGTGCAGTCTGATCTGCGCTACGATGCAATCAGTTCGAATGCATTACCTTCTATGGAAATATCTGTTATTTAGTCATTGCAGCAGAAGTCTTTTGCTTCCTTTCCATATAATGAACTTCGCTTATTAATCTGAAGAAAAATGAAAAGTGAGTTATCCTGCAATGATTCGAATATGCAATTTTTCGACTGCGAGTCATTACATGAGGTTATACGTCTTTTATATCAACCCTGTGACAGAAACAGAGATAAACATCGCCTACAGAGGAAAACAGTAACAGACTACCTCCTAATTACTCACTAGCTAAGTTTATGTTGCGAATTCCAATTCCAGCGATGAATACGCTTTCTCTTTAAATGCAGATTTTCTTCCGCAATGAATCCCTCCCCACTCTGCTCTGATGCAATCAACTGAGCAATAAATAACAAGTTTCCTAAAATCGAAACAACTTAGGTCGAGTCACTACTACATGGCTGACGCCTTTATCAAGCCGCGAACCAGTGAAAGGCGAAATGGTGGAGTGCAAGAAGAACAAGGTACTTCACACTAAGCATGTTGCTTGGTTCACAGACCACCCATCAATCAACAGTGGCCATGGAACTTGCGCGATCGTAAAAAAACGCTTGATCAGTTTCCTAGAATATGGGTCGATTTTCTATCGGACCACCGACCACACTGGCAGATCAAGGCACAAAGTAAGGAAGAATTGAAGAAATGATGTAATTAGCGCAATGCATGTGACTGCGGAATACTGGTCGATCAAGCAAATACAAGTGCATTACAATGTGCATTTGGAATACAGTAAGTTATCGAATGAAATATTTGTTTTTAGGAATGTAAAGGAATGAGGAGGAGGGACCAGGAATAAGACTCGCTATTTATGTCAAGTGAAATCCACTTCCTAACACTGTTGAATAGATGGATGGTTTATCGACCGAATTTTATATACCAAAAATTAAGCGGCGCCGTCTAGCTTTGACATTTGTTCTCACAATCATTCTTAGTAACAGCAGACATCGTAAGAGTTACAGTTTGCGCAGCAAATGTCATAACGTCGACAACGCGAGATAAATGATGTTCGTCCTTAGCCGCTAAATGCAACAGCCGACTGGTGAATATTTTTGATTTCTTGTTAGTTCAACATCTAGCGTACTAAATTTAAAAATGAATTTTCAAATCGCGTGTCCCGTTAAAAATTCATCACCAAAATCTGCAAATTTGCACTAACACCAAATCCTACAAAAATGCCTCCCCCCAAAAAAAATCACGACCCCGATACCAAGTGAGAGCTGATCATCCAGGAAACGGAAGGATGACTACGCCAGTTCAACCTTACCCTGATGCTCAGTACTTTGAATGCAAGGTCTTTGCAAATCTTGCTCGGGAATCAACAGTAGTTGCGTACTCGCTGAATCTGAACTTAACTATCTAAGTAATTAAATAAAAGAATCCATTTACATAAACTAATATTTGTAAAATTTGATCTACAACCAGTGCATAATGCATACTTCGTGAAATGAAGTACTTTTTAAAATCATGGAAAAGGTGAGATGAAACTCGAAATCTTGTGATCTTAATGTCAGTCACTTTCAGGCCTT